CAAGTCTAAAGAGGTTATAATTTCATTGTACAGGTCTTTGGTTAGGCTACATTTGGAATATTGTGTTTGGTCTTGGACTCCTTATCTCAGGAAAGACATTGAATTGTGTTGGAAAGGGTTTGGAAAAAGGTTACTAGAATGATGCCTGGGATGGAGGGTTTGTCATACGAGGAGAGGTTGAAATCTCTCAAATTGTTTTCTCATAAAAAAAAAAGAAGAAGAGTTAGGGGTATATGATTGAGATGTTTTTGCATCATCATTTTTCATATTTAACAGTGAGAATAATAGGACTAGGGGACACAAGTATAAATTTTGGCAGGATGGGAGTCATCTTCAGCTAAGACAAGTTTTATTTTTCTAGCAGAGTGGCTGGCCTTTGGAATAGGTTGCTTTCAGATGTTGTGGAGGCAGTAAATTTAAGTGAGTATAAGAGAAAGCTTGATAATTATACAAATGATAAGGGCTGGGTTTAACTTTTTTCTTTTTTTTAAATTTATTTAGTAATAGTTTTAGTTTAGTTTAGAGGATGGAACAGCTGAGATGGACTAATGGGTCCCATGTTTTCCCAAAATGTTATGTTATTGTAACTTGAAACTTCTGAACAGGGCTTTACATAAGGTTTCAAAAATCGTTCCCTATTTGTAAATGTTTTTAAAAATCAGATGATAAAAAAATCAAAGCAGTTTTAATAGAGCCTAACTAAAGCATTAAACAAGTCATTATTAAGCTCTTTGCTTTTAAGACTCAAACTTCTCATAAACAAACAAACGCAAAGCATTTTATATACTTTTTCATAAAGTCGCATATTTATAAGTCTCCAAAATCATGATTACAGAAACATTTGAGTCCTTTTCTCCTTTCTGTTACCAACACATATTTTACACATTTACATATAATTTAAGGACAACAAAGGACGTGGTAAATCTAGGCCACCCCATCCACTACACTAAACACTCAAATAAAAATATAACACTCAAAGCCAGCTATTATTTAAGTATTTATTAAGCTTTCCCTTAAACTGTCTCAGCTGAAGATGATACAATAACTACATCTACCACATCTGAAGGGGAGATGTTTCAAAGACAACCACCCCTTTTAGAAAAATAAAGCTGTCTAGCTGAAGATGATAAAATAACTGCATCTACCACATCTGAAGGGGACATTTCAAAGACAACCACCCCTTTTAGAAAAATAAGGCTGTCTTAACTGAAGATGACTCTACACTGCATATCTGTGTATCTGTGTTTCACAATTAAATATGAAAAAGATAATGTGTCAATACTATCAATTCCTTTAACAATTGGTTCCCTTCTAACTTTTTTTCAAGAGAAAGCAAGCTCAGATATCTTAACCCATCCACATATGAAAACCTTTTCATCCCAAATGTCATCACAGTAACCCTCCTCTGAATTGTTTCAAACAATTCAATGTCCTTTTTAAGTTAAAGAGCCCAAGACTGAACACAGAATTTCAAATGTGACCTTACCAAACCTATACAATGAATTATAACCTCTTTAGTCTTGTATTCGATATTTCTGTAGATGCAACCTAAAATCCTATTTGTTCTACCACTAACAAGAGCACATTGTTTGGATGGCTTAAGATACTCGTGAACCAGAACACCAAGATCTTTTTCTTCCATAACACTATCCAGGTTATTCTCATCAAAGTATACTCATAATGCATATTGTGATATCTCACCTACATTACCTTGCATTTATTATAATCAAAAGCCATCTGCCATTTATTCGCCAAACTCATAAAATAATATAAATTCTTTTGTAAAGTAGCATCTTCCTCACAGCTAGCAATAAACAAAACTTTGATATAATCAGAAAATGTAAATAATTTATTGACCAGTTCTTCGTTTATGTGGCATGTGTCCTGCTTGCCTGAACTCTATTTATAACAACCCTCTGCTTTCTTCCATCTAGCCAGTTTTACATCTAATGAGTCAACCAATCCTTCACAGCTACAGAAATAACTTTTTTTACAAGCTTTTTATGTGAAACTATGCTGACTATCTAACAAAAGTTTAAGCTTTGTTAAATGACTTTGCAAAGCATCTCTTATCAGACTTTCCAAAATTTTCCCAACACTGACACAAGACTAATTGATCTATAATTACTGTTACAATTTTTATCACCTCCCTTTGAAAAGAGGATTAACATCAGCTAACTTCAAGTCTCCTGGCACCCACCCACTATTTAAGGACTTAGAAAAAATAGCAGCATATGGCTCACATATCCAATCTTTAACTTCCTTCAAAACCGTTGGTTAAACATCTGGTCCAGGAGTTTTATCATTTATTAAACT